AGTGGGGGGGCACCTGGGGGGGCACAGAAGATTTGTGGGGGGGCACGTGCACCCCCAGGCCCCCCCGTAGCTACGCCCCTGTTCATATAATGAGTGAAACAATGCGAATGGCCATGTCTGCTGTTACTGCAATACGTACAAAATGTACATGATTAGGCCTTTTGCTTTACAGCACTGAGCATCACGTGAGCAGAGCGCATGCAGCACATGTTTAAATAATATCCGGACAACCAAAACTCTTGAGGGACAACCATATGCTACTCTCTTGGTTGTCCTCCGGACAACCCAAAAAAATCCTTAAAATTGAGCACTGGGACCTCTAGGACAACCTCTACCCTCTAGGAATATATTAACTCATCGTTAACCCTCTTGCTGTCTGCATGCCTATTACACATTGCTACTACCTTTCATACATAGTTGTCATGCCTTAAACATCTAGATCTTTGTTATTTACTTGTTGTACTTAGGTGAAAGCTATCTTAATTGGATGCTTGATTTGATATTTATATTAGAAATGTTTGTGTGGTTCCGTAAAATGCCATAAAAATACCCAATAAAAATAATACCTTGTTTTGTATTTACAACGGCAGAATAAACATCTACCCACATATACAGTTTAGACATTAACTTGATTAAAAAAAGATAAGCATGTGACTGGGTATTTAGTTCTTGCAGGGCTGAGCAATGTAGCTCAGCATGACTATTTCTCTTTACAGAGAAATGTAATGCCTTATTGCATTAATTCTAATAGAGAAAAATTTAATTTATTTCTCTGAAGATGATGCAGATGAATCTGCAACAGAAAGTGAAGCAGAGACCGAGGCACTCATGTATGACATCAGCACTGAAGTGAGGTTTATCAGCACAAAGGTCATGGGGTAAGTTTAGCTCACTCAGATATAATAGGTTGAAAAATCATAGATGATTGTATTTAAATAGTCTTCATTGATATACTCCCAATAGATGCTTGTTTTACTCATACTGGGAGTGAAACTACTTCAGTCCTGCTTTGAAGCACTGACTGAACAGTTTTTTTAAATCGTGAAATATGTTTATTGATATTTGCATGTTTAAATAATGGAAAAACTACATGTGCATGAAACATAACTGCAATGCAATAACTTAGTAGTGTTGAACATTATCGGGGGATTTCCCATGAATTTCACAAGGCATACATGTTAAACAGTTGGGTAATTCACGTGTGATTGCCAATTGGAGTTAATTACTCATGTCATATGTGACCCAATATAATTATGTATAATGGATATACTTAGTTTGTTTGGAGACACATACATCAAACTATGAAAGTGCAGCATAACTGTGTTGGTATTGCCAATAGTAAAACACAGCTGGAAATTGAGGCATGTCCATTACGCTTAGCAGAGGATATAAGCAGGGTGCGAAATTAACGGGAGTCCGGAGTCAAATACTCCCTGAATTACTGTCGGACTCCCTGATTTGATATATATGCAGGAGTCCGTGTAACTCCCTGAAAATTCTGCGATACTGACTAGTTCGTTCCAGAGCACGGCCTCGCGGAATTACCGTATTTTTTCAGCTAATGTCCCAAGAAAATTTGGCAGACGTGCAACTGCATGAATCTTAAAAATAAGCACATGCGTTATTGTTAATATCTTTAATTTTGAACCTCAGACTGCGGACTCCCTCATTTTGCTGCGGACTCTCTCTTTTTGAGGGTAGGGAGTCCGTTGGACTCCCGTGTTCAGAAGTTAATTTCTACCCCTGTATAAGTGATATCGTATACAGACCTGCCAACTGTTACGTATTGCCCGTAATTTGTTACGGACGCGAGTCAAAATTACGGTGTTACGGACGACCTCGAAAAATTACGGACAGCAAGAAATCTCTGAAATTTATATTTTTTAATGCAAAAAAAAAGAAATAAACACAGTGTAAAATCAACTATTATCATGTAACATGACTACTGTGTCTGTAGATTTAGACTAATAGCTCT